AATTCAAGAATTTTATCATGAGAAACATTATATCCTTTCTTCAGAACTCAAACATCTTTATGTTGCAGTGACAAGAGCACGCCAGCAAATTTGGATATATGATGAAAACACTGAATGGAGGGAACCAATTTGTAAGTATTGGAAGCACCATGGATTGATCAATGTGATTGTGAATGAAAATGAAAACGATACTTTGTCTACTTTGGATGAGGAAGGAAGTGGTAGTCCATATCAATGTCACTCTAAACAAGCAAAAATAGCTTTGTCTAATTTGGCTGAGAAAAAGAAAAGCAGTACAGATGAATGGGATCAACAAGGAAAAATTTTTTTTGAAAGACAGCAATATGATCTGGTAAAATTTGCATTTGAAATATTCTATTATGAACTGAGTTAACTAAATGTAAACAATTCACTTTTAGGCTGTTTTTTGCTTCAAGAAAAGTGGAAATGAAGAGCTATTTTATAAGAAAATGAATCTTATGAACAAACGCGTTGTGAGTAAAATAATAACAAAAATAAAAAATAACAAACTAAAAAATAAACAAACACAAAAAAATAATTTAATAAAAAATTTCCAAGATGTTCTAGTTTAGTTAGATTCATTCACACGAGAAAATCTATACCAGTTGAATTTTTGAATTTAATCTTTTATTATATTTTGAAATTTGGCCGTATGGCGAGGTCTTTAGACCGTGCCAACCATATAAATTAATTCATTATTCCTATTTTGTTTTTTAAACAGTTAAATAATTAATTTTTTTTAGATGATATACGATTTTCTGATTTTTTTAATGATCAAATAAATGGAATTATTAATAATCCTAATGAGTTTGTAAATGATTGAAAAAATCCTTTGTTAAAAGGCCTTTTTGATATGCTATATCAGAGTATGAACCCTTCAAAAAATTCCTCTATAGAAATAAAATCTAATGATTTCTCTGTTACCAAATGGCTGGCCTTAAACAAGTATGCTGGCTCAGTCAAAAATCAAATAGCTCTATATATGCTAAATACTGTTACATCTACACCAGGAATCAATACTTTAGCAAACTTGGGTTAAATCTTGATTGATCATTAAAAATGCATTGTATGCATTTCAACAAAAATTAAATATTATTATGTGTACCATTTTATGATTTTGTGCAACAAATGAATGTCCACCATGCTGGAGGACTCTCCATATTGACAATTCTTGGTTTTATTTATTAAAAAAAATTGAAATCAAAATAAACAGCTGAAAGAAAATTGGAAACTTATAATTGTCCGGATTTCATTACATCATCTTTGCACTTATCAAGCCATTCATAAACCTGCTTAATTAGGTCATGCGCCTCTTGTAATTTATTTTCTAGCCATTCAACATTTTCTTTTTTAAGTTCTTTTGTATTCTCAGTTGTTGACAGTGAATCTAATGCTTGCTTAACATTCTCATAATGGGTGTAACTAAAAATATAAATTTTAATGAGTTTGAATGATAAAAGAAACCACAAAGTGTCAAAATAATGTCTACAAACTTGAATTTTTCCAGCAGGTTAAGACATTCTTCAACTTTGTCCATATCTTTATTGTTATTCAATTTATCTTTGGTTATGTTCAATTTGTCTTTGGTTGCATCCATTTTACTTTGCATTTTATTTAACTTCGCAGTCACATCCACCATTGGATCTCTCAAGAGAATGATATATTTGTGTAATGCCTTTTCTTTTTTCTTTCTCAGGGCACCCTGACAAAAAGTTATTATTTCATTGTAAATCTTTTGAAGTTGGTGAGACTTCTTTTGTTCAAGAGCATGACGAATCCAAGTTTGGATTTTTGTGGCAGATTCATTGGCATGTAGAAACCATGATTTGATCTCATTATCCTCATCTTTATTAAAAATAGTGACAGACATGGAGCTGGTAGCTACTGGTGATATGATTTGTTGAAGAGCAAAGTGAAATTCCTTAATAGAAGAAGAGTGTGAAAGCTTTATAATATCTTGGCTCTCATAGTTGAAAAATTTGGAAGTGCCTCCACAATCATAATGGACAATGACCAGAGAGTCAAGGCCATTCTCATTTAAGTCTTCACTCAAAACATTCATAAGGTGAAAAGGTGAGCTGTCTAAATATTAAGAAAAAAAAAGTTTTATATAGCCATATACATATAATTTTAAAAATTATTTAAATATTAACTTTTCATATAACCTTCAGCGAAATATTTTTTGGCCCTAGGAGAAGAGATTTTATTATTTAAGTGGTTGAAAAAATCAAAGATCTCCTGTGCAAAAACGGATACATTCAAGCTGATGATAACCAAGAGCCTTATAAGTCGAAGGGTAATACTCAAATCACCCCTTTGTTTCAGAAGTTGTTTAATTTGTTTAAAAGAATGATCAATTGCAGCTAGATAGTCCTCTTTGTAATAAGTATTTTGTTGATTAAATTTAAAGAAGAGTGGTTTCATGGTGAATGCTTTAAAAAAATTAACAAGATATGCTCGAGGAAGGCAAAAATCATAATGATCAGGACCAGCCATGAAAATCAAAGATACTTTAAACTCCATAAGAGATACAAGATCACCTAAAGCATCAGGGCCATCCAATTGGACTAGTTTGGCATTGTCTAAAGCATACTTAATAAACAATTTTGCATTTGAGATTGCATGAATGACTTTATTTTTATAGAGATTTTCAAAGAATAATGAAAGTTGTTTTCCAACTGGAATTGCTTGATCATTGCCACACTTCTCAAAACCAATGGGTAAATAATCATGGTATGAAAGCTTTTTTGTTTTTGACATTTCCAAATCAAACATATTAATGCCCTGTTTGTATTTCAACTGTTGCAAAATGAATATGCATTTTAGCATGGCTGCAAAGTTGTCAACCTTGAGCTCTTTAGTTATCCATATATTTTGAACATAGCTGATAAAACCAGAACGTGTGTGTTTAGGAAGTTCTGAAAGCATCATTTGAGTTATTTCTGGGCAGCTTATCTGTGGTGATTGATAACGAATATGAAATTTAACCAGATTTTCAGCCCACCTCCTTTGTATTCCAGGAACTTGTTTACTTTGCTCCTCTCTAAGAAGCTCATGTTGATTGTACATCACATTCAACTGTCTAATAATAGTATAAGTAAGACTTGCAAGTTTCAAGCGTTGGTTCAGAATTAATGGTGTTGGGACTACATGATGATTTTTGCAACCTGATTTTTGACAGGATGGAAGAAATTGACAGATATGAGAACTCACATCTGGAATGCATCTACTTTTCTGATCAACATCCCAGATGAGTTCAAAGATATATGAGGCAAGGAACTGCTTCATTTTCATGTGCAAACTATTCATATCATAAACATGCCAATAGCTCATGATTTTATGTTGAATTTTATCCCATACATGAAGAAGTGGATTACCTAAAAATATATTCCATTTATGTGAATAATTTCCAACTTTATTTACAAAAAAAATTTTCTCAATATTGTTGGTGTTTTGATCTGATGCTATAAAATCAAAAGTTAATTCACATAACCTTAACAGACGTTGCAATTGTTCATGCCAGTATTCTGCTGATTGAGGAATGATTTGCAGACATATGTTTACTGCACAAAATTCAGCAACAAGTTCTTTGCGACCATTAAAGAATTGCATACACTCATAAACATTATTGAGGTCTTGATTTAAATAAGCTACATATAATTGAATCTCTTTTGCCAAGCTCTTCCATTGCTCAGATTCAGATTTGAATTTCTTTAGAAAATCATTTGCCTTGGAAAGAAGTTTACCCACTTCCTGTTTGACATTTAAATCCGTCATTATATTTGTTATTACATTGACTCTGCATAGGTGTACAAAGCACTTTAACACATTGATGTCTTCTGAGTTGATCTCTTTCAAATTCATGATAATAATATTGGTGGCCTCTTCAAACTTGCCACATAAGCATAGTCCACTGGCAACAGATCGATAATGAGTGCTAATAAGATTCTCATCAATCTCTTGTCTGTAACTGTTAAAATAATTAAATAGGTGTCAGATTATCATCTGCAAGTTTTATTTAAACACAAAAAAATTCCAGATATTGTGCTATGCTTATTTTTTCAATAAACTATGCTTTGGTAATAGCAATAATATACATATGCAGCATTAATTGCATCAAATTATTTAAGATACATGGAAATGAGCTTACCTATGAATTAAATCTTCTACTTTTTCAAAAAATTCACCATTTTTGTAGGCAACAAAAGCTTTATTATACATCCCCACCTTTTGAAAATTATTCCCAGCTTTATCCCATTTTTTAGCTTTAGAATAACAATTAGCAGCATGCTCGAACTTATTCCACTCTACACAAATATCACCAGCTTTTTCATGCATACCGATCTCCTAGATATTTTGTAGAGTTTTAAGTATCAATTATAAATTAGTGTTCAGATAGATGTAACCAATTTTTTAAAGTTACTATTGGTGCCATCCATTTCTTAAGAAAAACAAAGATTTTACCTGATAGCATGAAGCTGTTTCAATTGGTAGTGAACATTTTATGAAGGCCTCAGCAGCACGAACAAAATTGGAATTCACAGCAGCATCATCATCATCATCATATATAGAATCTCTGGCAACCTGCTGAAGAAGATATGCTACTGCTAGCTCTTCATTCTCTTTATTTTTACTTTTCTTGAAGCAAAAAATAGCCTGAAAGTGGTTTAATTCCATTTAGTTAATTCAGTTCATCACATGATAGAATATTTCAAATGCAATATTTACCTGGTCATATTGCTGTCTTTCAAAAAAAATCTCTCCTTGTTGATCCCATTCATGTGGACTGCTTTTCTTTTTCTTGGCCAAAGTAGACAGAGAAATTTTTACCTGATTAGATTGCTTTTGATATGTAATGTTTTTCTCTTCTTTGTCCACATAGTTTTCATTTCCATATACATTCTTAATTATATTGATCAATCCATGGTGTTCCCAATACATGCAAATTGGTTCCCTTGATACAGTGTTTTCATCATATATCCAAATTTTCTGACGTGCTCTTGTCACTGCAACATAAAGATTTTTAAGCTCTGAAGAAAGTATATAATGTTTCTCATGATAAAATTTTTGAATTCCTTTTGAATGGTTGCCAAAAGCAGAGAAAATTACTCGCCACTAAATATGTGCAAATAATTATTTAATAAGTGAATGATGTGGTGTGTTTAAAATAGGCAAAAAATTTACCTTTGAACATGCAGGTGAATCAGCAAAGAAATTATACAACAATACATCATCAAACTCCATGCCTTTGGACTCAAACACAGTCAATATCAATCCAAATTCTTCACCAATTTTTTTCTTCAAATGCTCTTTAGCTTCTTCATCACGTACAATAATGATCTGCCTAGCACCAAATCCATTATTACTTGACTCATTCCCATCCTCTAATCCTTCAAAAACAATTGGTCGAGGACCACCAACTTCACCACACTCATGTGGCAGCTTGTCAATGGACTCAGGAAAAAAGTGAGTGATGAGATCAATTACTGATGAAGCAAGTCTAAGGATCCCATTGTGTGAACGATAATTAATATTCATTTCAAACTGCTTTGGCATTATGACACTAGGTCGATTGGATCGATCAAGTTCCCATTTATATATCAAAGCCTTCAGATCTATATTAAGGTTAAACCATTGTTATTATATATGACTATTATAGGAGTAAATTTTTATAATTATCCTTAGCTTCTTCCTTGCATTCATACCTTGAAATTGGAAAGATGATCCCTTTGAAATACATTGTGCTATATCTCCAGCAAAAAAAATGTTGTCAGCATGTTCAAAGAGCTTTAAAATAAGTGCTAAATCCACAATGCTATTGTCCTGGCACTCATCAATATATAATTCATGAATTTGCAAACCACCAAGTGGTTCCTTCTTGGCATGACGTAAGATCTTAATAGTCCTAAAAAAAAGGTTTGAAAACTTGTCAAAAAATGAAAAAATTACATATCATCTGACTGATACTTACAGATCTATTGAGTCATAGTCAAAATTCAAGGTCTTCTTCTTTTCATATTCTAGAAATAAATCATAAATTTCATCTCGATTATAGCAAAATGTTGGGAATTTTTTAGTGCTGATGACTTGATAATCTTCCCTTGATAGGTATTCACCCTCAGAATCAAAGCCCTTAGGAAATTTTGAAAAAATCATTTAAATAGAGCACTGTCATAATTAACAATTAATTAAATTATAATAAATTTGAAAAAAATAAAAATAATGAGATGCGGGGATTTTACATATTGTTTTATACCTTAATGATAGAAAATTCAGAGAAGACCAGCCCACAATCAAAGTTCTTTCTATAATAATCATTGAAATGACACCAATATTTTTTTGCAAAGAGTCTGTAGTCTACAAAATGTTTCCATGATGCATTGTCATCTGTATCAAAATTTGGTTTTTTGGTTGGATTTGGTAGATTAATGTCATAAGTTTTCAGAAGCATATCAATCAATGTTTTGTAGGTAATTATCAATGGGAAATGGCCTTTTGTCAGTTGACGAAATGAGTTTGGAGTATAATCCACAATATTTCCCTTTCCCCGTTTTGTCACATTTTTCACATCAATATTACTACAACCTTTTCTATTTACGCTCTCATAAAATTGAGCCATAGACATTTTTTCATTAGTAAGTTTTGCTGACCCTTGCAGTTTGTTGAAATATTCTTTTACTCTACAGCACAGGTTTTCACTCAATGTAATGAATATTTGCCTTTTGTGAGAATTAGCATTGTTGTCATTTGAAGATGGCATCTCATTGAGTTGACTAGTCAGATATGAACCAAGAAGTCTGAACATAATACATGTGGTTTTTCCAGTTCCTGGGTATCAAATAGAACAAATAATGTTAACTTTTTCCCAAATATAAGAACACACCTATACCAACAATACTAACCAGAACGACCAATGACAATTGCTGATGAAGGATGGTTAATAATTTCATACTCAAGCTTAGATACCTGAAAGGTAAAATCGGTACCACCCCTGACAAGTGACCTAAATAAGTTCTGGAAGCAAAAATTATATATTAATATGTAACTCCAGTTAAAATGCGTTCTGTTTAAATCTTTAATTGTCTATATTCATACTCTACCTTTGATAATGGTACAAATTTATTTGTGGCAAGCATTTCATGAACCTTTAACAAATTTTCATCATCTGTTTGGTTCCACCTCAATCTGCTCTGGGTAGACCTTGTTGCTTCTTCATCTCCAAAGGATGGTAAAATGATATTACCTTTGCCAATCTGTTGTTGCAATGTGCACCGGTATTTATGTTCAGGAGTGTAGACTTGATGAAGTAATGAAACATTTTCTAATATTTCGTTGATTTGCTCTTGGTTTACAGTGACTGTCCAAATCGCCACATGTTGCATGAGTGAATTTTTACGAATAGAGAATCCATAATCGACCTGCCAGAGAATCTTCAAGCCACCATAATCTGGAAGTTCCACCTCATAAATAGGTACAATGCAAGATTGTACAGTATGTTGCAATCCATACTTATTCCATTTTCCGCTTGACATTTGCATTAGTTTCTCCATAACTGCTTTGATTGCAAGGGGCTCTAATTTTCTCATATCTGCAATTGCATCATTACTGAGCAAAACATCCCACGGACCAAGCTCATCATCATTTGATTCAAATGGTAGGCGAAAAAGTCTTTCATTCATTATTTCAATTTTTTTTCTTCCTCGCTGCTAATCTTATGTTTTTTCGAGGATTTATGATTACTGTTGTTCTTTTTATACACTTTTAATAAGAAAATAAAATGAAATGAAATTTTTATTTACAAGTAAAACTAGTAAGAGGTATAATATATATTACGCTACTCATTAAATTTCCGCTTATGATTATCCTGTAATCATGAATTGCTGGAAAAAAACGACAAAGAATTTTTTGTAGAGTAATATGTAAGAGAAAATATTTTGAATAATATATTATCAAAAAAAAAAAAAAACAGAATGGCAATTTTTTTCGATGGCTCGTGGGAAAAACAATAATAAAAAGATTGCGATAATGTTTGGAAGGAATCGGTAATCGTGTCATTGTTGCTAAATAAAGAATGATTTTCAAAGAAGGGTTCTACACCTGAAGACCTTTTAAAGTTTAATCTATTTTGAAACTATAGTGTAATGACAAAATTGCAAAATGCTAATAATGAATTATTTTAAAATAAATTTTGAAATTAATTAAAAATTTTTTCGCTTGAAAATTTTTCTTATAATAATTATTTTCCTCTTTTTGTCGTCAGTGATTAACTCTTTAAAGGTGACAAGTCATTTTTTTCAAAGAGAGAGACTGTTTATTATATTTATCTGTATTGGACGGCCAATCTTGAAATTAACATTAATATGTATACGCATTCTTCAAATTTTTAATTAATGCCAATAGCTAAAACGTTGATATGATTCAAATTTACAATTATTACTATCCAGAATATTTTAAATATCCATTATTACAGAGCATGATTTGAATCTTAGTCTGAAATTCACATTGAAAATTAAAACACAAAATTAATGTACCATTAACACTTTATTATCAAAAGGGTGATGATGTACATCCTGCAGCTTTGAGAAATGTTCTCCATACTCGAGTCTCGTTTTTATTAAAATCATGATTCAAAGGATAAGTTCTGATTAAAAATTCATGACTGAGCGAGCTATTTTGTACCAATCAACAATTGATTGTGTGTGTTTTTCAAGAATATAAATTCATTATTCAAATGTACAAGTGGTATTTGATAACTCAATGAAATTTGTTGAGTATAATAATTTTCCAATCAAAAAGAACATTTCCAGTTTTAAGTCAAACATTCTTTAGATGGTTCACCTTCAAATTTTTCTTTTTTCTTGTAAAAGAAATGATGACCTATAATCATTACCGGTTCCATGCCAATTCTTATAATTAGAATAATTGTCTACTTGAATTATGAATGGTAGAAATAGCAATAATTTAATCTTTGAAATCAAACTCATATACCCAAAAATTTGATCCTAGTTTTAAAGATAAAGATATTAATACTTTAGTTGAAGTTGCTTCTATGTGTTCTGATTCACAAAAATGTCTGGTAGTTGACGTAAAGTAAAAACTCTGCCACTTATTTCAGTTAAAATGTTCATGCCTAAATGAATAGGTTCATAGTGAATGTGAAACTTTTTTTACATTGCAAAATGAATTTTATATATGCGAAAATTTATATGTAATAAATTAATATTCAGTCAAACCTGGATTATAATAAATTCAGATTTTAACTTGTAAAAACATATAAAATCCAATAAGGCATGATAAAAAAAATTTTTTTCTTAGCGTTCATTTTTCTGTCTGGAATTTTAGTGTGGAAGTCAGTAGCATAGATGCTTAATTGAAATGGGTCCATCTGAATTATTAAAAAGACAAAGTACATTTCTTAAAAACAAAATACAATACTCGAAGCAGGATGAAAGGTAATAATAGTTAATAGTGACCATTAAATAGCAATATTATTGCGAATTAGGAGATATTAATAACAATAGTATAGTAGTAGTGTAATAATACTGGCCATCCAAGAAGTTTTTCATCAATTGGTATTTATTTACAAAGAAAAAGAAATAGACGGTAAAGTTAGTAAGAATAACCGATTTTTAGCTAATTCGTAAAAGTATGTTATTTTTCTAGTAATTATATGATGATAAATTTATCAATGTTCTTATCAGGCTAAAAATTGTTTGGCTAAGGTTTTTCTACCGGCCGACATCACTTGCAAATAAATAAAACAATAGGACTAAATAAGATAATAAGAGTAAATAAAGTATATGAATGGAACATATAAAATAAAATTTAACGATAAATTTTTTTATTATCTATAATCAAAAGTTGGTTAATAGCTGATGTCCGTCTTACAAGGCAGATTGATGCAGATATATAGCCTGACATTTAATTTGTAAATGATATTTTATTACTGTAGATAGATTTCAGGATATTTGTGTTTTATTGAAATAAAAAAATTATTATATCCAACTATGGTGATGGTGGAGTTCAAAAATACCAAAAAATTTCAAAAATAAATTTTGAATTTAAATTTCGTATAACAGATTTTTTTTAATACAGCTGAAAGAAAAGAATTAATAATAACCGATCAGATTTCATTACCTATCAAGCAGATTAATTTCTTGCAAAACAAATTTTCAAATTACTGTCCGAGTTGAACACGGAAAAATTATCGATTTAAAAAAGGCCAATTATTCTTATCTCGGATGTTAAATAGATCTAATGATATTTCAAAAAAAATAAAACTGTTGCAGCTATTAGAATTGGTAAACCTAAAAAATTTTCAGGCAGTGATTATAAAAGCAGTAAGAAAAGACCCAAAACAACTGTTGATGAATTAACCAAATATCTTAAAGAATTTAAGCATTGTAATAAGTGAAAAGACCACCAGGTGAACTTTACATGCCAAAAATATTTATGGTAGGAAGGCTGTAAAGAAGCCTTTAATATCGGAAACAAATAGGAAAAAAAATGCCATTCATGTGAGAAAAAATCAGAGATAAGTAAATAAAGGAACTTTATAGGAGCTTTTGAACTTTGTAAAATGGCCATATTCTGTACTATTATAGATTGGTTAAAATTTTTTAGGTATAAGAAAGAAGTAGTAAGCAAACCACCAAGACCGCCTAGAAGACTACCAAGAAGAACTAGACTGCACCAAATTCACCTAAAAAAATCTCGACCACGAATTCCAGAAATAAAAATCAAGCCACCCTTGGCTGTTGATTAAAATCTTGTCTTGCACTGTGAGGTTGGAAAGGGATTTTGATATTTTTTGACAAATCTTTTTGAAATGTCTAAAGCACCCATATTCAATTATATAATGTAATAAATACTTTACATTTCTTTTTGAAATATTCCAAAACTCAAACCAAATTAAAATCTTTATTTATAAAAAAAAAATCAAATCAAAATTCTGAAAATAAATAGCTGAAAGAAAGAAAAAATGGAAACTTATTAATTCATTACGTCTTTGCACTCATCAAGCCATTTATAAACCTGATTAATTATATTGTCCACCTCTTGTAATTTATTTTCTAACCATTCGACATCTTCTTGCTTGGATTCCTTTACATCCCAAGTTGGTGACAATGAATTCAATGCTTGCTTAATATTTTCATAATGGGTAAGCCTAAATAAAATATTTAATGAGTTTAAATGATAGGAAGACACCGTTAAAGAAGCAAGAATTAAAATAATGACGACAAACTCAAGTTCTTCCAACAGGTCAACACATTCTTCAGCAATATCCATATCAGGAGAATTATTAATTCTTTTATGTAACTTGACTTTGGTTCCATCCATTTTGCACTGCATCTCATTTAGCTTCATAATTGAATCTACAATTGAACCTCTTCCTTCATTCTCTTTAAAAATATCCTGGTGCCAAATATTATCAAAAACAACAGCAATGGATGGTGATATTTGTTGAAGAGCAGAATTGAATTCATCAATAGAAGAGTATGTAAGTTTTACAATACCATGGCTCTCATATTTGGAAAATTTTGAGATCCCACCCCAATTATAATGGACAATAACTAGAGAGTCAAGGCCATTTTCTTTTAAGTCTTCATTCAAAATTTTCATAAGGTGAAAAAGTGACATTGCTATAGAATCATTTAAATAAAAAAGTGTTATATATTTGTGTTATATATATCATTTTAAAAAATATTTGAATATTAACTTTTCATATAATTTCCAGCAAGATATTTATTGGCCTCAGGAGAAACGATTTTATTATTTAAGTGATTGAAAAGATCAAAAATCTTTTGTGTAAATGTGAATTCATTCAGGCTGATAAGGGCCAAGAGCCGTATCAGTCGAAGGATAATCTTCAAATCACCCTCCTGTTCCAGAAGTTGTTTAACTTGATTAAAAGAATCATTGATTGCAGCTAGATAATCCTCTTTGTAATAAGAGTTTTTTTGATTAAGATTAAAAAAGAGTGGCTTCACAGTGAATGCTTTAAAATAATTAACAAGATATGCTAGAGGAAGACAAAAATCACAATATTCAGGACTAGCCATGAAAACCAAAGACATTTTAAACTCCATAAGAGATACAAGATCACCTAAAGAATCAGAGTTATCCAGATGGACCATTTTGGTATTGTCTAAAGCATATTGAATAAACACACCTGCATGTAAAATTGCATCAATAACATAGTTTTTATAGAGATGCTCAAAGAGTAATGAAAGTCGTTTTCCAACTGGAATTACTTCATAATATTTGTACCCATGGTACTCCTCAAAACCAATGAGTGATTCATCAGGTTGTGAAAGCTCTTTTATTTTTGACATTTCCAAATCAAACATATCAATGCCCTGCTTGTCCTTTAGCTGTTGTAGAATAAATATGCATTTTAGCATGACTGCAAAGTTGTCAACCTTGAGCTCTTTAGTTATCCATATATTTTGAACATAACTGATAAAACCAGAATATGTGTGTATAAGAAGTTTTGAAAGCATCATCCGAGACATTTCAGGGCAGCTTATTTGTGGTGATAGATAACGAATACGAATTTCAACTAGTTTTTCAGTCCACCACCCTTGCATCCCAGGAACTTTTTCACTTTGCTCCTTGCTAAGAAGCCCCTTGCAATGGTACATTATATCTATCTGTTGAATAATAGTATGGTTAAGGCTTACAAGTTCCAAGTGTTGTTTCAGAATTAATGGTGTTGGGATTGCATGATGATTTTCACAACTTGAGTTTTGACAGTGACAGATATGGGAATATATATTTGGAATTTGTCTACTTTTCTTGTCAACATCACAGATGAGCTTAAAGATATATGAGGCAAGGAATTGCTTCATTTTCATGTGCAAACTATTTATATTATAAACATGCCCATCATCTGTGATTTTATGTTGAATATTTTTGTCCCATATATTAAGGAATGGGTTGCTTAAAAAAACTTTCCATTCATGTGAATCACTTTTTACAAAGAAAATCTCCTTTAAATACTTATGAATTTTCTTAACATTGTCAGCATTTTGATGTGGTGCTATAAAAAGAAAAGTTAGTTCACATAACCTTAACAGACATTGAAGCCATTCATGCCAGTGCTCTACTGATTGAGGAATGATTTGCAGACATATATTTACTGCACAAAATTCAGTAACAGGCTCTTGATTATTTCTAAAAAATTGTATACACTCATTAGCACTATTGAGGTCCTTATTTAAATAAGCTGAGTATAATTGAATTTCTTTCATCAAGCTTTTCCATTGCTCAGATTTTTCTAATAATTGTGATTTGAATTTCTTGACAAAATTTTTTGCCATGTAAAAGAGGCTATTTACTACTTCTTTGGTATTTGAAAATGTCAATATATTTTTTATTATATTAACCCTGCATAGATGTAAGATGCACTTTAACACTTCGAGGTCTTCTGAATTGGCCTCTTTCAAGATGATGATGTTATCAATGGCCTCTTCAAACTTGCCACATGAGCATAGTCCTCTGGCAACAGATCGATAATGAGTGCTAATATGATTCTCATCAATTTTTTGCCTGTATCTTGTTAAAATAATTTAAACAAATGTCAGATTATAAAATTTACAACCCCATAAATTTATATATAATTATATGTGAAGTTTACATAAAAAATTTCCAAGTGGCACATCACATTTTTCAATAAACCATGATTTGGTAATATATATATGCAACTTAAATACTTTAGAAATGTGCTTACCTTTGCACCAAAGTATTTACTTCTTTATAAAATTTACCATTTTTATAAGCAATAAATGCTTTGTTATACTTCTCCAACTTTAGATAAATAGTGCCTGCTTTATCCCATTTTTTGGCTTTAAAATAACAATCAGCAGCATGCTCAAGCATACCATACTCTACACAAACATCACCAGCTTTTTCATGCATACTGATCTCCTAGATATTTTGTAGAGTTTTAAGTATCAAGTTTTAAATTAGTATTCAGACAATGTGATCAATTATTTAAAGTTACTATTAGTGCAATCCATTTCTCTAGAAAAACAGGTTTTACCTGATAGCATGAAGCTGCTTCAATTGGCATTGAACATTTTATGAAGGCCTCAGCAGCACGAACAAAATTGGTATCCACAGCAGCATCATCATCATCATATATAGAATCTCTGGCAACCTGCTGAAGAAGATATGCTTCTGCTAACTCTTCATTCTCTTTATTTTTACTTTTTTTGAAGCAAAAAACAGCCTGAAAGTGGTTTAATTTCATTTAGTTAATACATTTCATCACATGATAGAATATTTCAAATGCAGTTTTTACCTGGTCATATTGCTGTCTTTCAAAAAAATTATTTCCTTGCTGATTCCATTCATCTGGTCCGCTTTTCTTTTTCTCAGCCAAAGTAGACAAAGCAATTTTTGCTTGTTTAGAGTGATGTTGATATGGGCTACCACTTCCTTCCTCATCCAAATTAGATAAAGTATCATTTTCATTTTCATTCACAATTATATTGATCAATCCATGGTGCTCCCAATACATGCAAATTGGCTCCCTTGATACAGTGTTTTCATCATATATCCAAATTCTCTGACGTGCTCTTGTTACTGCAACATAAAGATTTTTAAGCTCTGAGGAAAGGATGTAATGCTTTTCATGATAAAAGTCTTGAATTCCTTTTGAATGGTTGCCAAAAGCAGAGAAAATTACTCGCCACTGAATATGTGCACATAATTATTTAATAAGTGAATAATATGGAGTGGTTTAAAAAAGTGCATAATACTTTACCTTTGAATGTGCAAATGAATCAGCAAAAAAATTATACAAGAACACATCATTAAACTCCATGCCCTTGGACTCAAACACTGTCAATATCAATACAAATGCATTACCAATTTTTTTCTTCACTCGTTTTCTAGTTTCATCATCACGCACAATAATGACCTGCTCAGCACCAAACTCAATGTTACTTGTACCCTCACCCATAGAGAAGACATGAAAATAGAATTGTTCAGCCTCAACCCCATTGAAGACAATAGGTCGAGGACCACCAACTTCGCCACATTCACGTGACAGCTGGTCAATGGAATCGGGAAAAAAGTGAGTGATAAGATCAATCACTGATGAAGCAAGTTTAAGAATCCCATTGTGTGAACGGTAATTAATCTTCATTTCAAACAGTTCTGGTTGTTTTGGTTTTTTGTTTCTAGGCCTATTGTGAATGACATTGAATCGATCAACCTCCCAATCATGTATTAAAGCCTTCAGATCTATATTAAGATTAAACCATTGTCATGACAATTGTTTATTAAAAGAAGGATCATGTTAGATAAATTATTTATAACCATCCTTACCTTGAAACCGAAAAGATGAACCTCTTGCAATACATTGTGCTATATCTCCGGCCAAAAAAATGCTGTCAGCAAATTCAAAAAGTTTTAAAATAAGTGATAAATCTACAATGTTGTTGTCCTGACACTCATCAATATACAGTTCATGAATATGCAATGAATTAAGTGATATTGTTTTAGCACAGCGTAAAATATCAATAGTCCTAAAAGAAAAGTGTTTGAAAATTTTATCAAAAATTTTTTTAAAAATTATGTATCATCTGAGATTACTTACATATCTATTGAGTCATAGTCAAAATTTCTAGACTTTCTTCTCTGATATTCTTGGAATAAGTCATAAATTTCACCACGATTGTAACAAAATGCTGGGTATTTCTTGGTGCTGATTTCTTGATATTCCTCTCTTGATAGATGCTTACCCTCCAGATTAGAGCCCTTAAGAAAATTTGAGAAAAAAAGGCTTAAATTTTGAAATAGAACATTATATGCGTTCCTGTCATAATTTAACAGTTAACTAATGAATGGTATCAATATACAGTAATCTTACAAGCCTATGTAGGATTACAGTTAAACTATAACAGTAAATTTAAATTAACAAAATCAAAAAACTGTAATCCTATAAATTGTTAAATCACAGAAGATCAATTTCGTAATGTAGATGTAGTGATTTATATATTGCTACATACCTTGATAATGGCAAACTCGGAGAATACCAACCCACAATCAAGATTTTTCCTATAATAATCATTGAAATGAGGCCAATATTTATTTGCAAAGAGATTATAGTCTACAAAGTGTCTCCATGATGCATCTGACACACTACTGATAAAGTCTTGTTGGTGTAATAATCTCTCTATATCATTATCATTTTCATTAAATTTTGGTTGTTTGGCTGGATTCTGAAAATCAATGCCATAAGTTCCCTGGAGCATTTGGATAAACTTTTTGTAAGTAATTATCAATGGGAAATAGTCATCTGTCAGTTTACTATAATGGAATGAGTTTGGAATGTCATTCAGCATATCTTCCTCTTCAAGCTTTGTGTCATTTGCATCTAAATTAACATTTTCCTCCCCTTTTCTACGCACATACTCGTGAAATTGAGCTTCTGACATCTTTTCATTAGCAAATAATGCGGACTCTCGCAGTTTGTTGAAGTGTTCCTTTACTCTGCAGCACAAGTTTTCACTCAATGTGATAAATATTTGCCTTTTCTGAGAATTCCCACCATTGTCATTTGAAGATGATATCATATTGAGATGGCTTTTCAGATACGAAGCAAGAAGCCTAAACACAATACATGTGGTTTTGCCAGTTCCTAGGTATCAAATAGAACAAACAATATTAGCTTCTTTCCCTAATTATAAGGACGAACTAGATTACTAATACTAACCAGAACGACCAACAACAATTGCTGATGTGGGATGGTTGATAATTTTGTGCTCAAGCTCAGATACTTGAAAAGTAAAGTCAGTGCCACCCCTGACAAGTGACTTAAACAAGTCCTGCAAACAAGATCGTTTAACATCTGATAAATTTGTCTAAATCTTTAGATAGTAATGATTTGTTCATATTCATACTCTACCTTTGATAATGGAACAAACTTATTTGTAGTAAGCATTTCATGGATCTTTAACAAATTTTCATCATCCATTTGGTTACTACTCAATCTGCGCTCGGTAGACTTTGTTACTTCCTCACCTCCAAAGGTTACAGGTAAAATGATATCATCTTTGCTGGTCTGTTGAAAGGTACAACGGTGTTTATGTTCAGAAGTGTAGACTTTATGAAGTAATTCTGTATTTTTTAATATATCCGTAATTTGCTTCTGGTTTTTAGTGACTGCCCAAACCTCCACATACTGGATGAATGAACTGTTACGAACAGAAAATCCATAATCAACCTGCCAGAGAATTTTCAATCCATCATTATCTGGAAGCTCTGCCACATAAATAGGTACGATTTGAGAGTGAGATTCCACTGTATGCTGGAGTTTGTGCTTTTTCCATTTTCCGCTTGATATCTGCATTAGTTTCTCCGTGACTGCCTTAATCGCAAGAGGATCCAACACTCGCATATCTCTAATCGCAAAATCACTAAGCAGAACATCCCATGGACCAAGTTCATCATCATTGATTTCAAATGGCAGACGAAAAATCACTTCGTTCATTTTTGCTTTTCCGATATTACGAGTATATATAATTGCAAATTGTATATATAACTAAACCAAAAATAGCAATAAATAATACTTTCTGATAAGTTTATTTCAATACTTTTAAAATATATTTTTGAATATCGTTGTTCTTTACCACTAGGGGCTAAAAGTTAATAATTCTTTCTTTAATGAGAAATAAAGTAAAAAAAAATCAAAAATTTATTTACAACAAAGTAAAACGTGATATATATATATATAAATATGTATATGATATGTATAATGGTATAAGAGTAAAAAAAAGAGAAATTTTCCGATGGCAGTATTAGGTGGGAATAAAATGATGTTAATTTTAAGTGTCATTGTTACCATTTAAAGAATGTGTATTTATGCACGAGATCTTTGCCTATAATAATACAAATGAATGGGTCAAGTGATCGATTAAATGGTGATATGTTTTAAGAATTACCAAAATTGTATAATAATAATATTTGGGTTCGATGTACAGTTAATTTTCTTTGGAACGATAAGAATATATTTAGCTTCAACGTACAATTCTCTTTTAAGAATATATGAATAATATATTTAACTTCAATCTTTCAATGGTGACCATATCATACAAATCTATCAATTGATCGATTCATTAGAAGAAATTAAATGATTCTTTAATGTTTTTTTATTATTGGTTTTTAAAAAATTTTCTCTACTTTTATGTTTTTTATTTATTATGATTTGAAATTGGTTTTTTGGATTAATTTGCCCTTGGATTAAAGCATCTTTTAGGCTAGTTAATCGGACAACAATTTACCTTTATCAGTTACTACTAAGCCTGCTTGCAACTTTCTTATATTTTTCGGTGTATGCATTTAAATGAGCCGATACTCTGACACTTGAAGATTATCTAAAGTTGCTTGTGAAATTTACAAGAAAAAAAATAAATAAATAAACAGTAGGAAAAAAAAATCAGAATGAAAGTGGGCAATTATTTACCTAATGAAAAGTGGAAGAAGGAAATAATATGGATGGAAACTTATGATTATATAATTAGGAAATAATAATCGCTATACTAAAGTTGTGGCTGCTAATCATAATCATTCAGTCGAAAATATCAATAATTTAGTTAATAAAAATGTTTTCAGACCAATATCAAGGTATTGTACTAATAGAAGTCATAGAAGAGGATATAGACGTCATCCATCATGGAAGAACTAATCACACTATAAATGCTGAAGACATTGATACACATTGTTAGCGAAGGATCACAACTTGAAAAAAAAGAAGCTAGGACAGCTTGTTACTTCAAGAAAATCAAACAATTTTAAAGATTTTCGATATCCAGATTGCCCTTTAAACTAGTTTTAAATTTTAAAAAATAATTTTTTCTTAATCCAAAGGGATATTAATGTGAATATTTAATCGTGAATGTTATGATTTAATACACATTCGTATATAATTAAAATTGAGTAGTCATATTAAGTTAATTAATAATATGTTATAAACTAATTCTTATTTTGCAGTTTGTGACAAACAGTTTGAACAGTTTGATGTATGTTTTTTAAAATATATAGTTGGCTTGGCCTAAAGACCTCCTAAATTTTGCGCAAATTTTAAAAGTATAGAAGTCACTTTCTGTCCTATCTTTTAAAAAATAGCCTCATTAATTGACAGAATATGTCTCTAGTTTTAATGTAATCAAGAGATTTTCTCAAATTTTCACCAAAGAATTTGAGCGCCATGATCATGATAATAGTACGTACATATGACCATATATCTAAATTTGGCAGTAAGTCAAAATCACGTGATGACTCATTTTGAAATGAACACGAATTTGAGCAATAGAAGGTCTTTAGACCGAGCCAACCATACAAATTTAATTTTAAATTTGGGTTATTTTATCATTAAAATAATTCTTATTTTTTATTTATTCAAAACATGACCAAAAAGTTTTTCCCTCTAATCTAGTTAAATCGAAGAATAGGCAAATACAGCCAAACCTCATTTCAACCAACGAATCTATGGGAAATGGTGCATAAAAGAATCAATGTATTTTCGAAATTATTTCCTATTTACTAAACTTCGGCCATAACTTTGTAATAATAGTTTATACTATTGTTAGGCAGACTTCAACAACAACTCGTTCATCAACACCAGGACAGGTAACCATGTCATTTCCGTTCATCATCAACACCAGGACAGGTAGCCATGTCATTTCCTACAATATTAATAAAACATAATAGAATTATGATTAAATAAAAATATACTTCTTTTGATAATAAATAAATATTTTTTTATGATATATAAGCAAATTAATAAAGTATTTGCTAGTTTAAAAATCAATAAAAGAATAAATCCACATACTTTAGCACTCGATTAAAATGTAATAGCAATCAAATATCTGTCCCTTTGAGGATAATTCTAACTTCAGAACCTGCATAATTTTTTGATGCGTGAGATTTGAGTCCCTTGTTTAATCCAAACAGCCAAAGAATGATCGTACTCTTTCTTCCAAATTTTATGATTGAAGAAGGGTGTATACTTACTTCCAATAAATTCCTTGACTCGCAAAATTCAGGATTTAATCCACGAATATATTTAGCAGTATCTTTCTTAGAGGCGGGTATGAAATAGTTGAGTGACTTTCTAATATTAAATGTAGATAATCTATCTGATAATAACAAACAAAGGATTTTCATTGGATTAATTTATTTATATATATGTTTCAATTAACTAAAATCACGTGAGGTACATTTTTGGGAATATTTTTTTTGAAATTTGGTCGCGTGACGCAACAAGAGGAGAGTTTTTAGACCACATTTCATTTTTTTATATATTATGCAAAAAAACTCGATTTTGGTCGGGCACTTAAGATATCTTTTGCTAGATAAACCCCACATTTAATAATAATAATGTATATATATACATGCATTTAAAATTTATAAACTTGTTTAATAATATTAATATGATAAATTAATCAAAGCATAATAAAATTATTTTTTTCAAAAAAAAAGAAATAAAGCAATAAATAAAATTAACGTCTGGCACCTCGAGCCCATTTACTTGTGATAAAGATGGATTGTTTTAAAGTTGGTTTATACTTTGTAATTGACATCAATAATTTATGAGATGTTGAGTCTAGTAGATTTATTAACCACCTAATCTTTTGATGCAGAACATAGAATTAAAGAACTGCATATTGGCTCTGATTTTTGTGGATGAAAGAAACTAGGTGAAAATTCGAATGACAAAAGGTTTATTATACAATAATCATCGCATGAATCGTCGTTTTTGGTTGAATGGGTGAATTTGTATGGAACTTTAAGATGGTTTGAACCGTTGCCGATACTATAAACTGTTGGAATTTTTTGGAAAGTTTTATTTTTCGATTTTATCGACAACTGACATGGTTTTTGCAATAAATTAATATAAGCTTGTGAATTCCCGCCTTTTTTACCACTTCTGTTGAAATTGTCGTGAAAAGTAACCTTCCATAATGTAGGTTTGCGTAAGAATGTTGAATGATGAAATTTAATATCGTTCTTATGATTGTCTTCACCGTTTGTTATAGGTTTGAAAATGAAATTTCCGTTTTGCTGATTTACGCAATCAAAAATAAAATCTACATTGAATCTCCAATGTCGTCCTTGTTCAAAATGAAGAGTTTAAACCAGTCTTGTGCTTTTTCAATCTTTCCTCTAAAACAATTTTAGCCAAGTTTTTAAAGTTTTGACAAACATTGCATAAACTTATCAGTGTTTCGACATCAAGATTTGAAAATATTATTAATAATAGTTCATTTTGGAGTTTAAAAAGTGAAGAAGATGAAGAAGATAAAAAAACGTTGTTAATTAACTGCATGTTTGTGAAATGTTTTATAAAAGTAAGAAAAAAAGACACCAATATCAAAAAACTTGTTTAAAAAAAAAATAAAAAAAATAAAAAATAAAAAAATATTTTATATAATATAAAAATTTGTTTCTCGATAAATTTTCAACGACACTCTTCCATTCTTTTTTATTTCTTTTTTATGGATATCAATTACTAAAAGGCTAATTGGTATCTTTGCTTATTTTTTCTGTAGCTGTCTAAATATATCCATATAAGTAAATTCCCAATTTGAAAGATTTTATAAAATCGAAAAAACGACTAATTGACGTTCAATCCGGGGGATTTTTTTTGTATTTAATATTAATTTAAATGGTTTTATAAGGTACAAATATAATGAAAGATCAATAAATAAAATTGGGATTTTTGGCAAATTGGTTAGTTGTGAGGATGGCGAATTAATCTAATTGTAATAAATAAGCATGTATAGTATATATTGATATGTATTGGAATGCGATTGCTAGCCAGTTAAACTTTTATTTTATGACGCGGTTAAAATTAGAAATCGTTTTGACAAATAACAATTAGCAAGAAAAACCATTAAACTTTTTTTTTTTTTTTAATACTTTTGCTATCATTAACACAAGTAAGAAACAAGCTCATAACTGAGAACGCAATGCGAGCTTATGGTTTTCGTATTACAAATCACGCACACCATGTTACGCGAGAACAAAAATTCATTTATTTTAAGTTGGGTTTGGGATTGAATCTTCTTCGTCGCAAAGAGCAAAAAAAATGACATCACTCGGGCCAAGACACAGTAGTCTATTTTCTAAATCCAAAACATATAAATAGGACAGCCGTCCCCTCTTTTTTTTTTTGAAAAACTTGAATATTTTCATGGAACAAAATCGGATCTTAATCTTTATTGTCATCCTCAAAAAAATGATGATTCATTGTTGTTTGCTACTTGTTGCTATAATAATAATGCTTCTCATAATTGATGGATTTCATATATTATTAATTAACGAATTTTATCTCTCTTTTCTCTTTTTTTTTTATAATGCTTCTTCTAAATAAAATAAACAATAAAAATTAACAAAAGAGAGAGGTATGTCACGAATGGTTAATACACCCAGCATGAGCCACCAGCAAGAGTTCCATTCTCTCACTCGCTGGACTTTAATAACACATTTAAGCGAGCCACATGGGCTTGCCATTGCATGTCTTACCCCGAGACAAGAACTATTAATGGAAAAATGAGCCTTATATTTCAAGTTGTACGTGGGATATATACAGTTTCATTGGACAAATTTTTATTCTATTGAATTGTTTTATTTTTTTTTAGATTACAATAAAAATTATGTAACGTTTGTCAATTATTCAATAGTTTGTATAGGCGTAATCAAAGCAAGTGTTAAATACAAGATCAAGAAGTTTGCAAATCAAGTTTTGCAAATGAATGTTTTATCAATTATTCAATATTTTGTATGAAATAAGTGTTAAAGGCAAGATCTGTGAAGTTGTTTGCAAAATATATTTAACGAATGTTTTTATCAATTATTCAAATGTAGGCAGGTTCGATCGAAATAAGTGCTAAAGTTAAAATCTATTTGCAAATCAAGTTTTCTAACATGAACGTTTTGTTATTCAATAATTAATTATATAGGCGGGTTTGATCGAAGTAAGTGTTAATGTCGAGATCTACGAAGCTGTTTGTAATCAATTATTAAATAATCATATAGGCGGGGTTTGATCAAAGTAAGTGTTAAAGTCAAGGTTTACGAAGCTTGCAATCCATCTTTGCAAAATGAAAGTATAGACGTGATCAAAGCATTTTAGTAATAAACAAATTATCAATTCAATTGTCAATTTAATTAAACACACGACACTTTATTTTTAGTAATAATAATCAATTCAATTGTCAATTAATTAAGAAGTAACTGAATCATAAATTCAATTGTAAAAGCATAATGCTTTTCTTTAAAAGTAAACAAATCAATGATCCAAAAAAAACAGGGTATATGATAATAATAGTAAAAAATGTTTTTTTTGGCATTTTTAGTAAGAAACAAATAATTAATTAATTCAAAAAAATGCAAATAGGACGGCCGTCTCCACATTTTTTTTTTCGTAACCTCTTTCTCTCTCTCTCTCGACTCTTATTATTATTATTATTATTATTATATTTCATTCACCAAAGGCAACAAAATTGAAAAAAACAATTTTTAGATGATCTACATTACAGCCAATCAGAATTTCGTACCCAAGTAAGCCACCCTTAATCAAATTTGAATTAAAAAAATCAGCTATATATATCACACACAAAACCATAGTTTGTGAGTGCGAACATGGAGGCAATTCAAGCAAATGCAACTAATTCACCATTAACTGATGTTCAAAGCAATTTTATTACAAAAAACCTAATCGAGTTCTTGATAAAAGAATTCAGTACCTTTCTACATTTTGAAAAGTCCTAGCTTTCAAAATCCATCCAATCTTTGAATCCCCAGTTCAAAATTCCAAACACAAATCTAATTAAGGAATCAATAATACATCTATACAATATTTCATTTGATGAAATTAAAATCATAATTTTTAATAAATGTCAATTTGCTTGTTTGACCACAGATTTTTGGACCGCTTCACATCAGAAAAAAGGATGCATGGGTATAACTTGTTCCTGGCTCTCTGAAGATTTTGAACCAGTTGAAACTCTTTTAAACTTGTTTCATGTTCCCCATCCACATACAAACTTGGTTACAAAAAATCTAATAGAGGAAGAAATATTAAAGTGGAATTTAGAGGGGAAAATTACAGCTATTACTACCAATAATGGTAGTAATATGATTTCAGGGTCTAGATTATTAAAAAATTCATTAAATATTGAGAGAATTTCTTGTATAGCTCATACATTACAACTCTGTGTTAAAAAAGCACTTAACTGTGATGATAAGATTAAAGCATTGGTTTTAAGGGCAAGAAAACTTATCTTATTTTTCAACTCTCCAAAACAGTTGGAGGCACTGTTCAATGTGCAAGAAAGATTAAGAGAAGATTATCCAACAAATCTAAAACCAATACATGATGTAGCCACACGTTGGAATAGTACCTATAATTCATGGGTGAGGTTATTGAATCTCAAAAAAGCAATCATTATCTTACAAAGTCATATGATACTGGATAGTGATCCTGAAACTAGAAAAAGTGGGAGAAAATTACAAAAATCGTTATTAACAGAAATTAATTAAAGAATTTATTGAAACACTTAAACAATTGACTTAGTAACCACAACACTCAGTAGTAGAGATTTTGTAACATTATCTTTAGTTGTGCCACTGATATTTTTCCTAAAGAAAAGATTCTTAGAAATAGTGACATATTATATATATAAATGATGAAAATTATGACAACAATGAATTTGAAAATGAAAATATTGAACCAATAGATAGCTATTTTATAATGGTAATTACCCTATGGTAGTTATCATTGCTGTAACTACCAATTACAGCAGGTATCTTTAACAATAACATTTGTTGGTTCCTTTATTAATAAAACATACAATTTTATGCAAAAAAATGGACATATTTTCTCACTTGTGTCAATTGAACTTGGAGTCTCTATAGTTCTTGTAGTGATAATAATAGTAGTAGTAGTTTTTTTTTTAAAAATCAATTAACAATAATAGTTGTGATAATTGGTTTTTTCCCATTGTAATGATAATAACAATAGTAATTCATTTGTTCCTAATAGCAAATAGTCATATTAGGGTTTCTATTCGAATAAAACGAGTTAAGATTGAGCTGTATTATGTGTTAATTTGAATAAAATGAATAATAATAAATCGAATAATAATAATAAATCGAATAAGTCAAGTTGTCTTACTATTTTAAATTTATCATAGCAAACACATGAACAATTAAATACCAAACCGGATCTGAGATTTTTTTGATTAGTCTACAATAGAAGTTTAAAATGTTATTTTCAGAGCAAAAATTAAAATTAGAAATTTTATAATTAGCTTAATACAAAAATACAGTAAATTATCTCATACAAGCAATTTATTTTGATTCAAACCATCACTATTAACTACGGTAAATCATGAAAATGGCAATTTAAGTATTTCCCAACTTCAAAGCCTTTTATAACTTTTCCTTGCTAAATAATTCAGTGTGTTACAAAAGTCTTTGGACAAATACATTTGGTCACTACTCCACAATTACCATGCTATGTCATATGGTCAAGTATTTATTTGAAAACTCAGAAT